AGAAGGATTATGCAGTATAGTTGGCCGCTGACAGCTTCCATTTTATATTAGTGGCTAACCAGCGATGTGTCACTCTGCAGGACACACTCATTTCAGATGTTGAGGTCTTAAGGAAAGATCTCTGGGTCACTGAGGACACACTGAGTTGGTCATAAGCACATTCCCCAGAGATCTCTGGGAAAGAGGAAAAGAGCAGGAAGATTCTGGGAGATCTCACAGTGTGGGAATTCTGTCATCTCAAAACAGGAAGAAGCCTGTAGGAATGTGACCCCAAGAAGACACAAACTGAAACGTGGATAATTTAGATTGTTTCATACCTGCTAAAATGCAGTTGACAGCTCTTTTTTTGGGGTATATTCCTCCATTTGAAGGTTTGGTGGACAGATGTCACTTTTATCAGAGATGGAACAATGCATCACATGAGAGTGAAAACAGTGGGCTCTGTGTGTGTATGTGCTGTGTTTATGAGCATTTCAGAATGAGTGTGTGTCATGGAAAAGCTTAGGCAACTAGTTTTCGCCACACATACACACACATACGCAGGGTTCTGGCTCACCTCGGCAAATCCAACAGCAAAGGACTGATGCTGACAGGCTAATTCTGTGCTAAATGGAAAATAAATGGGGAGGCAGTCACAAGATGTTAGTAATAATAGAGAGAGAACACACACAAAACTCACACATAAATCGTTTGATTTCTTTCTGCTCCTCTGGCCTTCTTAGCTCTGTTTTACAGCATATGCAGAAAGCAGTGCGATGTTTATTTCAGCACACATATTTTAACAGTTTACTGTTTTCACAATGGCCATCCAAAGAGAGTAAAGATTTGGCACTTAAACAAAAGTTATTTTGAAAATATGTCAGTTGATTTATTAATACTATCAGCGCTGCATTGTTTGAAAGAAGATGTCATTTTGGCTCCACTTATTTCGCAAACAGTGAAACCACCACTATAGTATTTTTTAATCATTCTCAATAGCCAACTGTCAATAAAAAAATATTTGGAAGAAAATACGGTATACAGAAATGCCGAAATCACATTATTTTTTAAACAGAGCTGCAGCAATTTTTAAGCGGCAGAAGCACTTTTTCCTGGTTGTTTATTATTATTATTATTATTATTTATCGTAACACTTTATTTTGAGGTGTCCTTGTTACACGTTACATGTACGCACTATTGTAATTACTATTACTGCATTTGTTAACATCCTCTGCCAGTTCAATGATGGGATGACTGCTCGGGTGTATGGTGAGCGTGATTTGACCAAGTACAACATGTTCCTGGATCAACATCCTTGTTGATCCTGGAACATAATTCCAATCAACCAATCATAATTGAGAGATAACTTTTCAGGAAATGTAAGTTTTAGGCTTACAATCAGGATTAGGTGCTTCTACACCCTTGTTAATCAGCTATCATTTCCCTTTGATTTTAGTAATAAATTATGGGTAAGTTTAGGTTTAGGGGTAGGGTTTGGGTTAAGTCTGTATTTTTGGACAGTAATGTTGATCCAGGATCAACAAAAGATGATGATCTGGGAACATGTCTTACTTGGCAAAACTTACTTGGGTGAGGCAGGGGTGTGTGCTAGCACCAGTGCTCTTTAATATCTTCCTCCTGTGTGTCACCAAGCTTCTCCACAACGAGATTGAAAATAGCAGTAGCATAGCAGTAGACTTCAGACTAGATGACAACCTCTTTAATATTAGGAGGCTGCACGCAACCACAACACTCTGTAGAGAGCGGGTCCTGGAGCTGCAGTATGCATTTGTGGCCCATACTCCAGAGGATCTTCAAACTGTCCTCGCTGTGGCGGTTAGGGCATACAGCAGGATTGGGCTCACTGTCAACACCACCAAGACAGAAGTGATTTGCCAATGGAATACCAATGTCCCACCCACACTGCCTGCCTTCACTGTTGGGGATGAACAGCTGTCAGAAGTGCCATCTTTTAAATATCTGGAAAGTATTCTCGCTGAGGACTGTGGCATCGACAACGAAATCCAGAGCCGCATTAAACAGTCATTAGTTGCCTTTGGGAGACAAAAAGCCACAAAAGTCGTCGTATACCAAGCGGTCTTTGTCACCACCCTGCTCTAGCTGTGAAACTTTGGTAACCTACAGCCGTCACATCAGGTCCCTACTATACAAGTCCCATTTTTATCACCAAACTACTATGTTAGAGAAAGAAAAAGAATATGAGAGAGATGGTTGTCAAGGCCAAATGATTATAAAGAGTAAAGCAAAAGTCTTTACGATAAAAGAACTTAAGCAAAGGAAAAAGTATATCACAGTAAATAAAGAAAGAGAGAGACATAAGAAGAAAACAGCTGAAATCCAAATAGTGAGAATAAACTCAATGACCGGTATACCAACCAACATAAGTAATTTTCTTTTACTCGTAATGTTTCTTTTTCTTTTAATGTTTTCTTTTACTTAAAGAATAGCACTTTTGAAATTTTACATGAGATAAAGGCTCTTGTCATATCAGCTGTTTTATTTTATTGCTGGTTGCCATATGCTGAGCTTTAATGACTAGCCAAATTATACTCACTTTATTTCTGTAACGCCCTCTATTATCAGATTTGTACTAATAAATGAATCATGGATGATGGTGAAGAGCCCATTTCTGCACTGGCTTTAGAACCTGAAAACAAACTGTTCCTGATCCTGGGTGAACTGTTCCTTACCTGTACTCATTTTATGAGTTTTGGGTCTGTCAGGTTTGTTGCATGTATAAACCTGCCAATGGCATAACACAGGGGTGGCGAACGTCGGTCCTGGCGAGCCGCAGCCCTGCAGAGTT